CAGACAGACAGACAGACAGACAGATTCCAAGGAGAGAAAGCACAGAAAGCAAGCCAGTTCAGAGTTGGTTCTCTTTCTGTGTCTGTGTACATCTACAATGACAATGACTGTGGCTGAAGTTGCGAGTCCCTGAGCGCACTGGCCGCTGCATAGTCATGCCTGGCTGGTGACGGTGTGGGTGTCCGTCGCGGCGGTGGCGGCGCCTTCTCCTGCAGAGCTTCTTGGGTGATTCCGATGAACAACGGAATTTCGGGCTTTCGCCGAACAAACGGAATCCTACACAACCAACCCGGAACTACACGGAGCTTACACCTACATAAAGAGTGGATCTTGGCTGGCTTGGAGATTGGCCTCCAGAGGTTGGTCTGTGCGCAGAAAAAAATTACAGAGACTGGGAACGGCAAGTTTAAGCAAGCTCGGTTTCGATGTCCTTCGCCTTTTCTTTCTTCTCCTGTTTCCTGACGAGCTGAAAATCACTCTGCATCGCAAGGGGTATAATGCCAGATCTTCAACGCTGAGCTGGCAAAGCTGGATGTATGCACTGCGAGTCTGCAGCCTCTTCGGAGCAGATTCGGACCTCAAAGCGACGATGGCTAGAACTAATCTATAAGGGAGAGACAAACTGCAAATTCCTGTCTGTCCGAAGGCGACTCAGGCCGTGCTCGTGACTGAGCTCTCAACCGAGAGGCCGCCCCTCTCCGCCGGCGCCTCCCAGCCAGCCACGGCTCCAGTGAAAGGCTAAGACGACTGAATCTGACTAAGCGACTGCGACGGGAGGCAACGGCCCTGTGGCAAGGACGTGCTGAGCCGCTGACGAACGTGACCGGCTTTTCCTTGCCAGGATCTCACAACTCAGAACGAATCTCGACCCTTTCGCGCATGCAAGTTCCGTGTAAAATCGGGTTTTGAAGACTGCCCCTGTTAGTAGGGCCGGGGGTTTGTTCATAGGATTCTAAAAAGGAATTTATGGAGTAGTCGGTTGCAAGTGTCTTACACCGAATTTCAACCACTGAATGCCTAGACCACGGACCCCAAGTCCTAAACCCTAAAACGTAGATCCTAAGTCTTCAACCCCACATCCTCACAACCGGAAGGTGGGCACTCCTGTTCTGGGTTTAGCGTTCAGTTTCAGCAGCAAGTACCCAAATGCCGTGTCAAACACTCCACAGTTGGGTACTCTCACGCCAATCCGAAGTTATGCGTGCTAAGCAGTCAACCGCATATCCGAGGTGAGGTATGCTAATACACGCAGCGCATCTGCACTAGGCCGGCTGGTCCGAGATCCTGGCCGTTTATCTCTGCCCCGAGATTTACTCCGTCCTGCGACTGTGCACGACTGCAGCTGCGTTAATGAAGTCCCCACCAAAGTGCTGCAAGCAGACGGCACCCCGTTAGGATGCATCGAAACAAACTCTCTCCAAGAAAGGTGAAGGCTGGACGACAAACTAGCCCTCTCAGCACGCGGCTAGCTCGCCGTCGATCTCGAGACCTTATCTAATCAATCATGCATTTCGAGATCGACTTCCTTGCTGCCATCCTGGCAAAGCCAAAGAGATCGGTTGGCCCCTGTCGCTGCCGAAAACGATGCAATCGGAACCCGTCACCTTGTGACCTTGTGACCTTCAAGGCGGCCACCCTGAGCTTGACCGAGCCATTCTGCAGAAGCTGCCTGGGAAGGGCACGTGCGTCTTTTTGTCTAACTATTGCTGAACTGGCAGCACTTCAATCCTGGGCAACATGTACTCTACCAAGACTCCTGTGGTACCACAACAGAATTACGCATCTGCGTTCGCGTTCTTGACCAACTTGGCACATCTTGGCACCCCGACAGCCCTGGCTCTGCCTGTCTGCGCGGCCTGCAACTGCAATACTTGTTCATGCTCAGTATGGTAAGGTGCACGGCAAATGGCAAGGGCACGAGTGATGACGATTGCTAGAATAAGCGGCAGCAGCCTTGAGAAGCGGCGCTGACCCCTCGCGGGGGTCTTCTACCAAAGCAAACTATGAGCCAAACATCCCACGCCACTGCTGTTTGCCAAACCTGCTGCCACAGTTGCAAGAACTTCGCGAGCTTTCGGGTCATCTCTTGAGAAGCAAAACGAGGATGCAACGTCAATTCCCCACGTCCAGTCTGATCGAATGTGATTCTTCGAAATTGCATTACCGTGTCGCCTTTCAAGCTGGGATATCCATTCAACCGTTTTCGCTTGTTGCAACCTGGAAGCCGTTTGTTCGGCGGTTATGTTGGAAGGTGTTGATTCATAAATCACCCCTTACGAGCAAGATGATGAATGGGCTTGCGTTTTTCGAGTAAAACGACTGCTTTCTACATGCGTTTAGAAAAAGAACCTGAAGCTTACCGTGATCTTTGCGTGTTTTTTCGTTTTACTATGTTTGCGGCTTTACAATATTCAACGTGCACTGCCTCCACCCCTTTCTGAATTTGGGAGCAGGACAGAATGCAGGCCTGTGTTCCTGGAGAACAAGCAGTTTTGCTGCAAGTTTCGAGCGCATTTGTCAGCAATGTAAATGTAAATCCGACAAGACTGCATGGGGCACTAGTTCGTCGGTGCCAATGCCAATACCAGTTGCACTCAAAAAAAGAGGTGCTGGGTTGCGCGACACCCAAAACCAGGGCATACGGGTGGCAACTCCACGACCTAAAATCACGTGAATGCTGTGGATCCCAAAACTGGTGATTGGTCGACTACGAGTTCGATCCAGCCAAGCTTCATGACGCGATGATGGCACACTCCAACCGAAGCACTTGGATTTCCAGGAATTCACGCTAGTACTCGTTGCTTTCCACGTGCAAGTAACCCGCCTAGAGTTAGAGGCGCAACGAAGCAGGGAAAAAATGTGGATTTGACTGGCCGTTCAACTGCATCGCAGAATGTAAAAGGTGTGCATTTTGACCTTTTGTTCCACTTGCGCAACAGTGCGCAAGAATCATTGCGGGCTTTAATTCGCCATACGAAAAGTGATCACCATAAACAACGGCTGCATTTGTCACAGGCTCGCTTGCGTTCAGGAACGAGGTATCTCGGCTTGCTCCGGATGTGCTTGGGCAATCGGATGTCCAATTCCAAAACCAAAACCACAAGAAGATTCCACACAAGCCACCACCGGAACAAATGGGGTTAAATCCAGTTCTCCGAATTCAAAAAAGACAAAATCGTTTTGCAAAAAAAGAAAACGAAAAACAAAATTGCCTTCGCAAAAGAAATGAAGCAAGACCAAGGTCGGTGACTAGATTTGGGGACTTGCGTTGCGGAAACATCAGTGCGTGCGCACTACTGTAACTTTTGGCCTTGGCAATTCAATGCAGTCTGGAAGCTTGAAGAATTTCAAGATTTAAAAAACTTGGCCACACCTTTGTCAAACCATCCGAGATCACAAAGGTTTCTGCGCGTGACGGCTGTTAGTTCAAAACACACCGTTTAAACAAGCCTTGGTGGACATTGCCTGACATTAACTACATGGACTCTAACTTCAAATTGCTTGGATTTCGAGTTGGGTTTGACTCCAACCCAGACCTTCGCTCCAAAAGGTCGAGTTCACCTAAACATCCAAACTCCAGACATCCAAACTACAGACTAGGGTTTTGAACATTTCGGCTTGAACGCAAACCCATTACCGGGTGGGAAAAGTTCGACTCTGGCGACAGCGGGCGGCAGTTTATTTTGTGAGCACAAAAGCCTGCTTACAGTTTGTCACCTTGTTGCAATGTGCCAGCCTGTTGTCTTCTTTCTGACTTCGCGGTCGGTCGAGAGAAAACAGTAACAAAGGAAGAAAACAGAGCGCACAAAACGTACTTTCAGGGGTTTCGACTCTTTGCCTTGAACCCTTAATCTCAACAGAACTGTCAGGTTCCAGGAACTATCGAACTCTTCCGGAAAACCCTCACATGCGGCGAACCCTCTGAAAAAATTCAATGAACATAAAGAGATCAGACTGCATTCAATGATTGAATTTCCTGAAGTTCCAAACTGCACTATAAACGATAGTGAAGCCGCCCAAACCTTAAACGAAACACTTGGCAGCTCGCAGCCCAGCCTTGCTGGCTCCACCACTAGCAATCCAAAAGGACATGTGACCACTCCCCGAAAACGTCTAATTTTCAATTTCCAAGAAACAATTAACGGCAATGATGTCACTCAGACTCACGTTGTTTTCTCTCTCGGTGCGCTTCCCACGTCCATTGTGTCTACAAGATTTCGATAAGCCTTGGTTCCGTCCGTGTGACAGACAGACCCTTTTCGTCAAAAACTTAAAAAGCTTACACACGCTTTCAGGGCTTCAGACAGACCTCTCCAAGCACCTTGCAGAAAAGCAAGCTCACAAAACACTCGGACAGTTTACACTTTCAGCACGCACAGCTCACTGCTCTGCTGGTCTCGTGTCCCAAGCCAAACGACAGCAGTCGTGGCACCTCTTAAAAGCTTCCAAGCAAGGGAAAAAAGTAAAGAGCCAAAACCACAAGCACTGCTCAAACAACGTTCTACAAGCACTAACCACCTGAAACTAGCAAACTGACTTTCAACGAGTGGCTTCAGAACCGCCAGAAGTCGCAACACAAGAATTTCTAGCTCAGCTTTGCATTGTTTTGCAAGCAACCGCAACCGCAAAGCCGATGGCCCGGGTATCACGAGAAAACTTTACACTTAAAGGTCAGTCAGACCATGTTTGCCTGTCGCTCAGTGTTGGAATGTTCTGTCGGCTGACATCCTTCTCACGGACGCCCTGGCTCGCAGTCAGCAATTCTAAAGCCTGAATATTCGGTTAGGAAGAGCAATGGGATGTCAAACTTCTTTAGTGCTCTGTGCGAAAGACAGTGCCAGAAACGGCTTCCGGCAAGCCTTCTAAGCCTCCAGGTTTAGAAGACAATTGTCCGACAACGACCGGACGACTGTCGGCATTGCTTAAATATGGACTTGTTCGGCTGGTTGTCGGCCTTGCAAGTGGCTTCGTAAACAAAGTTGCCGAAACTGCGGAAAAGATTGCAAAGAAAGCAAGTCGGACTGACCTTTAAAGCTGTGTGCTCTTGTGGATGATAGAGCAAAGAAGCAAGCACATCCGCGCAGTGGACAGTTATTGGTTGTCGCATTTTTAGACTCCAAACGGTTGTTGACAATCTGACTCACTATTGATGGAGCAAGACACCAGACTTCTATGCACCGTCGCATTGCTCTGTCTGCAAAGTTTCCAC